CTGGCATTTAACAAAGTGAATCGGCTCTGAGCCGTCATTATATTTGATACAATTTTTTGTGAAATCTAATTTTGCATTGACCTGCCTTAACAGGTCGAAACCAATTATGCCATCGAATCTCCCAAGGTTTTCCAGAACAAAGAAATATGTTTTTATATTGAATAAATGAATCGGGCATTTCTGCTCGATTTTTGTGTGCCCATGTATTGACCTTACTTGAAAAGTTTTTTCAACAGACACAAAGTACTTCAGTACTGAAAGAGGTTTGATAAAACTTTTGGACGCTCCCGTGTCAATAAGCAACTTGATAGTTTGCCCCGCTACTGTACGTGTGACGTACGGGAGCAGGGAGCTACCCCTAAAAAATTGCAGTTTTCAGCTTCGGACAATTCGTCCTCGAACGCTGCTGCTTCCGATTGTGATCGGGCTTCATAATTTTCTCCGTCATGTTCGTGAGGCAAGTGGTTCAATCTTTGGCGGCTTCGCATTGATTGGTCGCCATAATTTTGAAACCTCCTATTGCCCTGTGACTGCGTGTTTTGCCTAAAACGCGATGAAGTATCAACCTCCATCGGCTCGGGACGCTGCCCTTGTGGCTTTTGTGTCTGGAAGCGTTGCTTCGAACTATCCGCCCTTGGCTGTCCCTGATGTTCCCTATGCCTTTTGGAAGAATGGGCTCTTTTGTTGAAAATTGCCCTCATTTTCCGGCTGGCCGCTTTGGCGCCAGCTTTGAGGCCGCTGACCACTAGGCTTCTGAGTTTTTTCCTCAGTATGTTTGGCTAAATTTGCCATGAAAATGCCTCTTTCGTTGCTTGATTCTCCCTCCTGTGCAAGTGCCAGGGCGGTTGGCAGATCACGCGGCTGAGCTGGGAAAACAGCCCATTTGATTGATTTTCTCAATCCAGAAACGAAAGTGTGAAGCGCGTCAGCTCTATATTTTTCATTCAAAACGGCTGCTGCAGCCGAATCATAAGTCATAAGAGTTTTATTTATAATTAGTGTCAAGTTTTTCTCTACTTCATCGTAGTATTTCAACAAGGGCAAGTCGCCCTGTCTCAGAATATTCAGGTTTTGTTGGATAACATGTACCGGCGTTTTGTCGGCAAATGTGAAATCCAATCTTGCAATTATAGCGTTAAAATTTAGCACAGTGTTGAAGGATGCAAGTACTACATCTGCAGGTCCCCTTATTTTATTTCTAATAATGGCAACTGCCTAGAGCTCCCGTTGTAGGGCTCGAAAACCTTATATGCCGATGCAGCAGCTTGTCTCCAAGAGACGTAATTGTCTTGCTTCCCATCAAACTCGGGGATAGACTTCACTATGTCTAAGGGCTCCTTTGTCCTGGTACAATTTCTGTGGCCAGGTATACCTTCACCTCTGGCACGGTCCCCCTAAGATTATTCAACTGATCTGTAACTACCGCGAGCTTTTGCTCGAAAAGCTGTGCCTGTTGTTCAAGGCACGCCCGCATTTGGACCTCCAGATTTGCCACTTGTTGTTCACTCATGCTGTTAGTTGAACTTATAGCCCTGTATGAAGGTATTAACTCTTCGTCACTACTGTCCGTTCGTTTATCGGTTCTGTACATCAAGATATGAGTCTCTAATCTACTCCTTTTGGATTTGTCAGTAACAAAACTTGCATATAACAATTTAAATTAAAAAAAAATTGAACAATTATGACATAAAACTGTCTTTTTTTTCCAAATCTCCGCAGAATGAATTTGGGGTAAACTTATAAAAATTGTATAGGTTTTGCTTCAATAATATAAAAATATAATAAAAACAATATAACAATACAACAAAAATACAATCAAAAATCTTATACTCGACAACGTCAATTTGTTGTGACAACTTGCATAGAAAAATGTGAAAAATTTCAAACCTCAGCAGCACAAACCTCCGCCAATTGAGGAAAAAAAAATTCCACTGCAAAAATTTGTGTGAAAAAATAAAAAAAGATATTTTTTTTCTCTTTATATTTTTTCCTTTTTATCTTTACGCAACACAAACGAGAGAGATTTTCCTGGCTCACCCTAATTCTGGACAATTGGTTTCGCTTTTCTTTTATTCCTTTCTTTTATTTTTATTTATTTAAAATAAGGCAATATAAACACTTCACTTACATGAACTTCATATTTCTACGAAACTACAGTTGCTGGTGGCCGATGCGTGTAGCGCTGTCTGTAGGGTGCCGAATCTTCTTCGTCTAGTTGCTGGGACTGCCGTTGGGGCTGCTGCTTGGTTTTGCACTGTTGTGAACTTTAGAGCTGTTTTTTCTTCCTCTTTTTCTGTTCTTTTCCCTCGCTCAGCAATAGCCGCTGGGGTTTTATTTTTTTAATTATTTTTTATTTATTTTTTTCTTCTTCTATCTGAAGCTTCTGTCACCTTTTCAGATGTTGAAGTCTCACTTTAAACTGCTTGTTGTAGCACTTTAATTATTTTTACTTTTAGTTACTTTTCAGATGTTGAAGTCTCACTTTAAACTGCTTGCTGTATCACTTCAATTATTTTTACTTTTAGTTACTTTTCAGATGTTGAAGTCTCACTTTAAACTGCTTGTTGTAGCACTTTAATTATTTTTAGTTACTAGTAATTGTAACAATTAGTACTTCAATCGCGGCGTTTGGCACGACGATATTATTTTGTTTTAATTTTTTTAGTATGCTAGCACTTGGCATGTTAATCGCGGCGTTGGCACGACGATGTTTTTTTTTTTTTTTTAAGTTCTTATTAAATGTAACACTAAATACTTTTCTCGCGGCGTTGGCACAACGAGGTATTTACTAAGTTAATTTAAAAACGCGAGTAAGTACTTCACCGTTGGGCGCCAGTAAACAAATCTCGGTTGGAGTAGGTTTCGTTTAGATGTTTATTTAGCTCAACTGAGCATAATGAGTTCCAAATTATAACTAACTTAAATAAATATTCAATGCAGGCCACATAGCCTATGGCCCGCGGCAGCGCCGGAGCATAGCCCATGGGCCGTGGCAGCGCAGGCAACAGAACGCTGACTCGGCGCCTCGTGACCGTTCTTGCAGTGGTCACTCAGCGCAGGCATGCGGGTGTCAGGTTCCGCCGGCCGCTGTGTTGCAACGGCGTCCGGTCTGATAACTTGGTCAGCAGATATTGCCTTGCGCGCGTGAACTGGCATCTGTGTTGCAACGGCGTCCGGTCTAATGACCTGGTCAGCAGATTCTGCCTTGCGCGTGTTAACTTACATACATAGATGTGCACATATGTGTGGACATTCACACATAAGTGTCTCACATGTTGCTTTGGCTATTTCAATCGTTTGCACGCAACTACACGAACAGCTGTTTGCATGTGTGTGTGTGTGTGTGTATGTATACTTAGTTGTCCCCAACTGTTTGATATTTTGTATTGTTTGTTCTGCCTGCTTTTGTAAAATGCATATTTTGAAAATCCTTGAATGCAAAGTTGTAGATTTAGTTACGTAGATTACATTACCTAAATTTTAAATCGGTCGGACTAAATTTATAACACAAACTTTTCATTTGAAATAGTGAATACATATTAAAACCCCAATAATTCAAGCTCCAACACAAATTTAAGTATCTAAGTATGCAGTTTTGTTTGTATTCTTTAATTGATTTTAGAAACTAAGTTTTCAGTCGATCGGTTGAAAAATGCGGATTTTTCAAACAAACTTTGGAGCTACTTTTCCCCCCTTTGGAGCTTGAATTTTCCAAAATCCCTTCTTAGTGGGGACCTAGACTTCGAAAGGATACTTGAGTCCAAATTTCAGCTTCCCAGCCTTTACCGTTTGGGCTGTGCGTTGATCACCAATCAGTCAGTCAGTCAGGACAAACTGTTTTATATACATATATAGATATGGGGTTGGAGATGCTTCCTTTGCGCAAACCTAATATATACTTTTTACCTTACGGGTACAGGGTAAAAAATCCAGTACTGGTCAAAAAGTTTCACTCGTGTGAAAAATATGATTTAAAAATAAAGAAACATAAACAAATTGAATAATTATTTTATGTATTTACATCAGCGATGGGCACGTATGTTTTGGTAACTGGCGACAGCCAGATGCACAAGCAAAGCACCGATCTCGAGCAAACTTACAATAACAAAATACACGCAGTGTTGTCGCCAGCCAGACGCACAAGTAGAAGACCGAACTTACAAACCTATCGCGACAGAGTTTACAAAAACAAAATACATGCAGTGTTGTCGCCAGCCAGACGCACAAGTAGATCGATGCAAAATACAAAATACACACAGTGTGTGTACTGATGATCGATTTGCAATACCCGCTGACGGTCACTTATGCACTGACATTCAAAGTGTATTGACAAATTATTAATTATAGTGTTTCAGTAAAACTTTTATGATTTTCGTCAAGTTATTTACTTATAATCTTACTTATATTTGATTTAAAACTGAACAATGGCTAATGAAATTAATATTTCCGAGATTGAGACGCGGTATTTTTTTGCCAGCACTTACATGTGTGCGAAGCTGCATTTTCAAACATTAAATATATTAAAAATGTTTATAAGAATAAATTAAGTGACATAAATTTATCAGATTTATTACGAATCGCTTTAAGTGAAGAGGAAATAGACCTCAAAAAATGATTAAATGAATGTTCATAAATGTGATCAAAATTTTTTTCGGTGTACTTTTTTTTCCTAATTTTTTGCTCGCAGTTTATGATGTTCTCATAACCCAAACGGTAGTTTTTGTTGTAGATGTTGTTGTAGGACTCCCAAACTAAAATTTCGTGCCCACCGCTGATTTACATACATATGTAACTGTACATATGACACATCGAAAATAACACCACCCTAAATTGTCCCGCATTGGCTTTTGAAAAAGTTGGCCGCCTTACATTTGTAGTTATTTATGCGATGAGCATAGAGCGAGACTAATTGTATGTAAATGTGTCTTTCCGTCTGGACGAAATATAAATCAAAACTGCGACAGCTGCTATAAAACGCTTTCATAAATAACTAAAATAAATATACTAAGAGGAATATTTTTTTATTTGAATAAAATACCTGAATTAAAAATACGTAATAAATGATTTTTTCTAAGATAACACAATCAGGTTTGTGTATATCTTTTTATCCTCCTTCCACCAACCCGATCTCAACATTTGGGTCTAATCAGCAATACAGTCCCTGGCCCTCATTTTGCTCAATGTGGTAGTGGCAATACTGCCGTTGTGTTGGTGTCAGGCCCAATGATTCCACCTCGGATTTAAATTGTTCCATGCTACCAGCTCCCGCCAGGTAGCCGTTTAGCTTTGTGGCCACGTAAGAAGTCTGCAGCAACATTGGGTTAAGATTTAGCGAACTCATAAAATCCTTGTGGCCCTGCAGTCTGTACTTTTGGTGATAGCTGTTCATGCAGTGATAAGAAAAAAGTGATATTCAAGGTGTGGAAAACTGAAACTTACTCCTCTGCCGTATAAAAATGTCGCTTGGGTGCAATTACTGTTGTGATTATCTCCGGAGCGCGGCGGTATTGCTCCTCCTGCTTAGATGCCTTTGCAATTTCCTGTTGTTCAGCATTATGGTACAGTATGAGAGATGCGTACTGCCGTTTTATAGGCGTGGTCAAACCGTACTCATGGTTGTTCCAAAACAAATCCAGCAGTTCTTTAAAGCTTATGACTGAGGGGTCATAGTCAATTTCCAATACCTCTGTGTGATCGCCCCTGTTATAAGGCAGAAATTATTAAGTTATATGTTAGTTGTACAAAGGTATAAGGAAATACAAATGCAAGTGTAACTCTGTATGTAAATACATACATATGTATGTATGTGTATTGGTTATGGTAAATATTTAGGGGTATTAGTTGAGCAATCTAACATTGTACGGTACGTTGGGACTTCAGTGCTTCCTCCAGAGTAACCCACAGTAGTCCGAATAACGCCCCGAGTTGCGCCATACAACGACTCTGCTCCCCAAAAGCAACCCATTCCAAAGGTGGCTGTCTCAAATGTTACATTCAAGTTGTGCACTGGCGCGATATTGAGCTCCTTTTGCTCATTACGAATGGTGCTCTGTGAAGACAAAAATGTACATATTTTTATTTACACGAAATTATGCATGTAAAGTAAATGACGAAGAGAAATTGTAAGTAAATGCACTTCACCAGAAATATCAGACCGTAACCAAAACTGAAAAAGCACCGCATAGGAAACAAAATTTGTTGTTTTTAAAGGCACACTTTTCTCTCTTTTGTGTGATTAGAATTTTTCAGTAGCCGCTAAAATGCAATAGGTATAACACTTATACATACATATGTATGTATTATCAAAATATTTTGTAGATGACGACTAAAGCAGCTGTTATACATTACTATGGCATTTGACCTTAACACGAAAATCCATGCTGGCTGGAATACATATGTATATGCAGAGCTCTTAGCGATTCGATCAAAATTTTTCGACTACTTTTTGGAAGATCAATAATCGATGTTTCGATTTTTGAGAATCGATTTATTTTAGGTATCCCACGAGCCTTAACCATGTCCTCTTATAAGACACATTTCTAAATACATGTGTAGTTTGTTTACAATATTTTTAAAAAATTGGCTTCAAAAACATTTTAGTTTTTCAAAAATATTAATTTTAAAACAAGAGAGGAATGCTAGAGTCGAAGGGGCTCAATTCTTTAATAAACTGCATCCACTGCCACAAACACATAAAAAATTGTAATATTTGTATTTTTAATGATTAAATGAATGAATTAATAAAATAAAATTATTATTTTAACAAAAAAAACCGACTTCAAACAATTCTAACAATTAATTAATATGCGCAATGAAGTAAACAAATAATTGTGTATATATTCTACAATAATATAGGTAGAATTATTGGTATTTTTGGAGTCGGTGTCAGCCAAGGAAACACTATAATATACCTAACAATAATAATATAAGAATACATAAAGAAATATCAGAATTGACCTGCCCGGGGCTTATGGCCATCTGGATACCAAATTTGGTAGTTCTAGCTCTTGTACCATCTGATATCCTTGTGCTCGTCCAGACGGACGGACAGACGGACATGGCTATATCGACTCCGCTTGTCACCCTGATCAAAAATATATATACTTTGTGTGGTCTGCCACGCCTCCTTCTGCCTGTTACATACATTCGCACAAAACTAGTATAGCCTTTCACCTTTTGGGTACAGGATATGAAAATTGCATATACATATGTATGTATATTTCTTTAGAGATATGGAACCAATCACCTATTTTTACATATGATCAATGTCTCTTTTTACACGGTTGTTTCTGGAACCAATCTTCCGATTAAAAACAGAATTAGGTGTACACGATTCCAACGTACTCAGAGCTCAAAAGTCACAAGTACACTCTGCAACAATAATCGCAGCTCATCAAATCAAAACAGAAGATATTCACAGACGAGAACCTTAAGAACAACGTGTTGAACGTTTGAAACAAAATATATTGACAACGAGAGCTGCGCGAAAACTGAATAAAGACACATTCAGAGAACGCGACAAAGTCAACAAACCAGTAGTGCAATAACATTCTACTTGCGTTCGATATGCACCAGACATTTATTTCTCTGCACACTTTAAGATTGTCTTTGCATATCCACGACGAATTCGTTAGGACATGAACAATTCCCAAAAGTCCTCTGTTGTAATAGGCGTTTTTCTCTGACATCGATTGTTTCATTTAGGCGACGCTGTTTCATATAAGCAGCACGTTTAGTAGATCTACCCATATTCAGACACATTAATTATAGTGCATGACATTCACTAAAAATCAAAAAATAAACAACAATTTTAACAAAAAAAAACCTGGTTCAAACACGCGCCATTCAGAAGTGCAGTGCTTAGTTTCAACGGTAGCAAAAACAGGAAAGGAATGCTAAAGTCGAGCAGGCTCAACTCTTAAATACTCTGTACCTTCCACCCAAAAGGAAAAAATGAAAAAAAAACTCATTTTAAAAAATTATATTAATTAAATTAATTACAAATTATTCAATACATATATGTATACAAAAGTGGAGACATGTTCATGAACACTTTCAACAACATACATTTACATCAAAGTTGAACCAAAGCAGCAACAAGCAACTATCTCTTGTATCGACTCGGTTTGTCATCCTGATCAATAATATATATGTATACTTTGTGGGGTCTGCCACGCCTCCTTCTGTATGTTACATACATTCGCACAAAACTAGTATAGCCTTTTACCCTTTGGGTACAGCCTATAAAACCGGTATTCACAAACTATTGCACATATTTAAAAAATTATAGTATTTTCCTTTTGCAACCATTCCGAAATAACACATTTAATTTATTTTGCAATATTTGTCCAAGCACTACTATAATTTTGATCGTGCAAAACTGAGCACAATTATGAAATAATTTAGTAACAACAACAGTATTTCCACAAAAAGCGGAAGTTATAAGACATTATAAAAATTTTGTAGTAGATCACCTGTATGAATAATACCACCTGTATTCGAACTTAACAAAGAGTAGATTTAAAATTATTAAAATTCTCACAGACAGATGTGGACCTTGTGTTATTAGGTATCTCAATACCTTAATAACAAAAGGTTTACTTTCTTGGTCTATTAATTGGATTTGGGCTGTCAATGTATGCGGGCTTTATGAAAAGTTAAGCTTGTGACCACTCACCCCTAGATTAATACATGTACATATGTACGTACCTACATATATGCGTACGTATGTATGTATATAAAATCAAGGTCAACGTTAATGTTAGTTTTCGAATACAATATTTATGTACACATGTTTGAATATATTTCATGTATTTCATGCAAAGCTCACATATGTACATTCATATATACACCTTTACATACATATGCATGTATTCATAAGCTTTGAGGTCTTGGCAATAAATTAATACCGCATATGTATGTATGTACATATATATATATATATACATTCATATACACAGTATACATATGTATGTATGTATAGAGGCTGGAACTTTATAATTAAACAACTAATGTTTTTGCAAATCGTAGGTGTAATAATATCAACGTTTCTGTTGATGGATCAGACTTTTGTCTCATCCATGAAATAAGAACGAGACCATTTAGGCGCATTATTCATATGTACATACATACATACTTAAAAGATTGTTAATTGTTAACCTTCCAAATGCTCACAGCCCTTTCAAAACTTAGGGAAAACTTTTTTTGGCAAAGGGATACGAACAAGAATGATACGGTGCGAATACCGAGCACTTTTGGAAAAAAAATTGTGCTACTCCATAACATGCTAAATAGACTTACCAGGTCCTTAAGCTTAGGAGTATTGACATCATTGGTTATAAACGACATGATACAAACTTCTTCTTTGTATTAATCTGCCAGCGTTTCATAGAAACACAAACCAAAGAAAACTGGCAAACTCTACACAAAGCACAGCTTTTTATACCGTCTCCCCAATTCTCAATCTAAAAAGCTCACTATAGAAGAGAGCGTAGGTTAGAAATGCCTTTTTTATAGATGCTTTCCGTTTTCTGTAAGAGGCACATTTTATGAATGAAAGCTTTTAAGTTTCTGACTAGATCAAATTATATGTATGTGTGTATGTACATATGTATGTATGCACCTCAAACCAAAATTTGTACGTGAATACTTACCTATGTCCATACATACATACATATATGGTGATATATGTATGTATGCACCTCGTTTTATAAACTGTATCCGAAGAGTATGAAATTAAATTATTTTTAAGCCAATCGATTTTAATCATGGTTTAAATCAGCGATGGGTACGTAGTGGCTCTTTGGGCTCCCAGGGCTCTTTCCGTTATGTTTTGGTAACTGGCGACAGCCAGAAGCACAAGCAAAGTACCGATCTCGAGCAAACTTACAATAACAAAATACACGCAGTGTTGTCGCCAGCCAGACGCACAAGTAGAAGACCGAACTTACAAACCTATCGCGACAGAGTTTACAAAAACAAAATACATGCAGTGTTGTCGCCAGCCAGACGCACAAGTAGATCGATGCAATAACAAAATACACACAGTGCGTGTACTGATGATCGATTTGCAATACCCGCTGACGGTCACTTATGCACTGACATTCAAAGTGTATTGACAAATTATAAATTATAGTGTTTCAGTAAAACTTTTATGATTTTCGTCAAGTTATTTACTTATAATCTTACTTATATTTGATTTAAAACTGGAAAAAGTATGTGGCAAACAGTATCCATTATTAACATCTTCAATGCTTCAATTAGAAGCAAGTTTTGCCAGCACTTATGTGTGCGAAGCTGCATTTTCAAACATTAAATATATTAACAAGTAAAAAAGCTAAAGTCGGGTGTCCCGACTTTGAAATACTCTGTACATATGTTTACAATAATTATAGAAAATAAAAAAAATTAAGAAAATAAAAAACAAGTAAAAAAGCTAAAGTCGGGTGTCCCGACTTTGAAATACTCTGTACATATGTTTACAATAATTATAGAAAAAAAAAAAAAAAAGAAAAAAAAATTGGATCGATTTTACCTCTCTCGGTATTCGAACTCACGTAAAGGGTGTATAATTGCACATTTACATAGCAATTGCGTCTGTGTGAGTGTATGTATGCCTATGCGCATCAATTCGTGTCTGTGTAAGCATTTTCGCAGTCAACCAAACAGCAACATCAACAACAGCCGCGGGCAGCGCTGCAGCAGCGCTTGAGCAACGCTGCAGCAGCAAATATATTTATGGCTATAACTTCTTGGTAAATCGGTCTATCATAGTGAAACTTGGCATACGGACACATGGTTTGCGCGAGCTGAAATATGTAACAGACAGAAGGAGGCGTGGCAGACCCCACAAAGTACATATATTCTTGATCAGAATGGCAAGACGAGTCGATCTAGTATGTATGTCTGTCCGTCCGTCTGTCTGTCCGTATGGACATCTGGATCTCAGAGATTATAAGAGCTAGAGACACAAAATTATACACAAAGATGCCTTATGTGTGTACGCTGTGCAAGTTTGTTTTATTTTTTGACTTTCCCCCTATGGGGATTTTCCCGATTTTCCATTCGTATAGTCGCCTATATCTCGGAGACTATAAGACCTAGGAACACAAAATTTTAGTCCCAGATGCCTTATGTGAATACGCAGAAAATGTGTATTTTGGAATTCCCCTCCTCCCTCCCATCTCCCTCCCCCCACCCCCACGCAATCACTGATTTTCCACAGAACACGTATTTCTTGGAATTTTTAATTGAAATTCTTCCAGTTAGTTATTATGAGTCCGTATACCAAGTTTCATAATGATAGGCCGATTTAACAGGAAGCTATATCTGTATATGTATATGACCAAGCAGTGCCCGTATCTGTTGTTGTTGTTACTGCTTTGCACAGGCACATGAGACATACACAGACACACACATATGCACAGAGTATTTAAAAGTCGGGACACCCGACTTTAGATTTTTTACTTGTTTTTATAGGGTATATTAGGTTTGTGCAAAGTATTGAACATGCAGAAGGAAGCATCTCCGACCCGATAAAGTACATATATTCTGAATCGATCTGGACATGTCCGTCCGTCCATCTGTACGTCTGTCTGGACGAACGCAAGGATCTCAGAAACTATAAAATTGGTATCCAGATTTTCCTAGGTTCAACAAAGGACGAGTTTATTTTATTTCTTTGAATTTTTCCCCCTTCCTCCGCTACAGAATTTCGTCAATACCTTAAATAAATTTTGCACATGTAATTATACCCTGTACCCAAAGGGTACAAGGGTATATTAGTTTTGTGCGAGTGTACATGTAACACACAGAAGGAGGCGTGGTAGACCCCACAAAGTATATATATTCTTGATCAGCATGACAAGCCGAGTCGACATAGCCATGTCCGTCTGTCTGTATGAACGCAAGGATCTCAGAAAGTATAAGTGCTAGAATAACCAAACTTCGTATACAGATTATCCTGAGCCCGACAAAGGACGAGTTTGTTCATTTTTCCCGATGCAAGATTATATAAAAGAGTATATTAGGTTTGCGGGAGGTGAAAAATGTAACATACAGAAGGATCTGAATACATACTTGTAAATAAATAAAGACATATGTGTGTTTATTGTACATCAGAATTGTGTCTATGCACGTTTATATGCATGTATGGATGCAGTACAGAAACATAAGTCAAAGCAGCAAGCAGCAGTTGCGGGCAGAATTTTTGCAGATATTATATTTATGGCTGTAACTTTCTTTTTAATCAACCTTTTATAATGAAACTTGGCATACGGACGTATAATTCGTAATTATTTTTGAAAATTTACTAGGTATTCTACCATAAAATATACTGCTCAAGCACTAATCGTTTCATCTCAGACATGCTATTTTGTAAACCTAACTCTTATACTCACACACACGAATAATATCTAATACAAATATCCATTGTACATATAAAACTAGTAATAAAGGAACACACGCAGCTTACGGTTGAGTTCCGGCCAAAACACAGTATAATATTTTTGGATTCCGCTTATAGAACCACATACAGAACACAACTAACACTCTGGCAGCGCCATTAGGGGAAGACGAAAAGGAAAGGAAAGACCGAGCTCCAAGTACAATCGCTAAGTTGGAATATAGGCTGCACCAGGCCATTCCACTCAAAACCCTATAACAGGCCACAATTAGAGCGACAAATGGAAGGCAACAACAGTTATAAGAGCTTTACTAAATTAAAGTCAATCGAGCTAAAGAAATTCAACGGAACGTTCGAAAGTTCGATACCCTTTTGGGAGCAGTTTAAAATAGCAGTGCATGAAAATAGCTCGTTAGATGCATGTTGTTGCATCGGGCTGGGTACATAAAAGACTGAGTGGCAGCGCTAAGGGAGGCGCCGAAATTTAAAGTTGGTACTGCGCCGCCATCTAGCGGTACCGAGCGAGGTGCCGGGGTGGCAACTGCAGTCGCACAGGCTCAGGGTTGTGTCCCGATGGCACCCCGAAGGGGGGAAACGTCAAGGCCGTGATGAACGGATGCGCAAGGACATAGAAATCCGCAGCGAGATGACATCCGGCCTATAAAAGGCAAGCAGGAACACGCCATTCCTGTTTTGGGGCGACCTTTTGGACCCACGAGGCGGCGACCTGTTTTCGTTGGAGTGAGCGGAGACCTGGAATTGCAAAAGAAAAGCGTGTTACAAGCAGTTCGAAGGTGAGCAAACAGGGGCAGAAATACAAGGCAGAGCCGCTGCCCATGTATACGTACCCATATATATATATATATCCACTTGAATGTGCCGACCCATGCTTAAATGCCTTTTGTTCCTCGGCACATAGGAACCGTGCACAACAGCTGCAGCGGTCATCAGAAGCAGCAACAACAGTGGCAGCCGTAGCAAAGGCGACCGCTCCAAACGAGCAGCAGCGCCAGCGCGACTTCAGCGGCACCACCATCAGCGGCCATCACAACCAGCAGCATACGCGGCATCGCGACGGCAGCAGCGTAATTTTGGCGCACCAGTAGCAGCCCATTCCACAACGGCAGCGACACCGCCATCCACAACGCAACAGCAGACACGTCAGTCTGCGCCATCAAAGAAAAGAAAAAAAAAGGGAAAGAAAAGAAAAATATATATCTTAACAAGCCGAAGGCGAGGCAGAAAGCGGCACCAAGACAGAGCTTGGCGCTCTATTTAATTAAGAGAAAACATTTATACTTTCATTTCATAGTGTACGAAGATTGCCAATTGCAGTAGCGCGCAGTATTTTATATGTATCCTTATATTTCTATTGCGCCCATGACCGTCGAGAGCTCTCGTTAGGGTTTGGTTATACATATTTCTATAATTTTTTTTACCGCGCATATCTTCTCATACACATATACATATTTATTGGCCATAAACATACTTACATGTTGGCGCACATAAAGAACCGCATTGGCCGTTGGCAAGCCTTCTTTATTTTGTTTTATATAAATTCTTGTTCCATGTTTACATTGTTTGCACCTCACACTCAATCACACTGAAATATATGTATGTTTGTAGCCACATAAACTGAAAATTAATTGTTAATTTTAATGGTCGCACCGTTGATGATGATGCATTAAAGCAGCGTCAGTAGGGGCGGGAGACTCACCTTTGCCATGGAATAGCCCAAGCACGGCCCAATGGTAGGGTATCCAATAAAAATGTTGCCTTTGGATACAGGCAGGGTGGGTACGCCTGGGATATTTCCAGCTGCATCCCATACAGTTGTACGATGCCACCAATTCCTGTCCGTCCGCACATACAGATGTAGTTCCTTTTGTTTTTTTTTTGAGTCCGTATCCGTGTATATCCGTTTCTTTTTTGTTACATTAGTGTTTCTTTTGTGTCATGTTAGTTATTTTTGGTTTGTTTACATTTTGAATTTTGTTTTGTTATTGCG